ATACTGGAACTCTGCCAAGCTGTGTCTCTGCCTTCTTCCTTCCCCAACGAATCCCATGGAATCCTGGTAAATATTTGCCTTGCTGCTACAGCTTCAGTTGAAGCGAGGATTCGTGAGAACAGGCGCTTCACAATAACAGGTCTCTCAAACGAATTTCCTGATGTGTCGAGATCAGTGTTTTACAACATTGTTTCTGAACACCTAAAGTTTAGGAAACTGTGCTCCCGTTGGGTCCTGAAACTCCTAACAGAGGACCACAAAAACCAAAGATTTGAGTGTGCAATCAAATCAAATCGTCTGTAATCAAAGCAGGGCGACCGGAGCGGTCCTCATCATGGACGTTGTCACGGCCATCTTTGAATCGTCGTACCCACTTACGCACTTTGCTTCCACTCATAACAGTGTCACCGGACACTTCACAAATCTGTCAATGAATTTCTGCAGCAGGCAGGTTCCTTGCTGACAAAAACCGTATCACTGAGCGAACCTCACATGCGGAGGGTGAGTTGAGAGTCTTAAACATGTTTAAAGCACAGAACAGAACCGTACAGGTGAGCTACAGAGAGGAAACTGAGCACAGTTGTTCCCGAAGCATGCCGGTACACGACGGAAGCGCTCGTTGCGGTATGCGCGCAAACTACTAGTGTCTACAACAAAACGAACCTTACTTAAAAAATACCCCTCGTATGTATCACAGGACGCTGAAACTACACAAGTGTAATGATATAAGTCTCTATAGTACAACTCGGAACAGAGAACGGTCTTGATGTGACAGGTGCTGAAGTGGTGTGAGGTTTGAGAATGGACCCAGTGGAAGACAGAGCAGTCCTCAAGTTCCTTTCCTTGAAGGGCTGCACACCAAAGGAGACGTTCAATGAGATGAAAGAGGTTCTGGTGAGGATTCCCCATCAGATGATGGAGTCAAGAACTGGCATTGTCCATTCCAATGTGGTCGGACTTTGGTGCAAACAGCTCCAATTCCACTTGCTTAATGAACACACCATCCAGCAAGTGGAGGTCGCCATTTTGGGAAACCGCCACGTAACCGTTCCCCACCTAGCCCAAAATGTCAAGATGAGTGTGGGGTCTGTGGAAAAAATCATCCAAGACCATCTTCACCTGCATAAGGTATCCGCTCGCTAGAATTATAGAATCAAAGAGTTGGAAGAGACCTCCTGGGCCATCCAGTCCAACCCCATTCTGCCAAGAAGCAGGAATATTGCATTCAAATCACCCCTGACAGATGGCCATCCAGCCTCTGTTTCAAAGCTTCCAAAGAAGCAGCCTCCACCACGCTCTGGGGCAGAGAGTTCCACTGCTGAACGGCTCTCACAGTCAGGAAGTTCTTCCTCATGTTCAGATGGAATCTCCTCTCTTGTAGTTTGAAGCCATTGTTCCATTGCGTCCTAGTCTCCAGGGAAGCAGAAAACAAGCTTGCTCCCTCCTCCCTGTGGCTTCCTCTCACATATTTATTCATGGCTATCATATCTCCTCTCAGCCTTCTCTTCTTCAGGCTAAACATGCCCAGCTCCTTAAGCCGCTCCTCATAGGGCTTGTTCTCCAGACCCTTGATCATTTTAGTCGCCCTCCTCTGGACACATTCCAGCTTGTCAATATCTCTCTTGAATTGTGGTGCCCAGAATTGGACACAATATTCCAGGTGTGGTCTAACCAAGGCAGAATAGAGCATGGGGAGCATTACTTCCCTAGATCTAGACACTATGCTCCTCTTGATGCAGGCCAAAATCCCATTGGCTTTTTTTGCCGCCACATCACATTGTTGGCTCATGTTTAACTTGTTGTCCACGAGGACTCCAAGATCTTTTTCACACGTACTGCTCTCGAGCCAGGCATGTCCCCCATTCTGTATCTTTGCATTTCATTTTTTCTGCCAAAGTGGAGTATCTTGCATTTGTCACTGTTGAACTTCATTTTGTTAGTTTTGGCCATTCATCTCTCTAATCTGTCAAGATCGTTTTGAATCCTGCTCCTGTCCTCTGGAGTATTGGCTATCCCTCCCAATTTGGTGTCGTCTGCAAACTTGATGATCCTGCCTTCTAGCCCTTCATCTAAGTTATTAATGAAGATCCTGATCAGGACCAGGCCCAGGCCAGAACCCTGCGGATGGCACTCCACTCGTCACTTCTTTCCAGGATGAAGAGGAAGCATTAGTGAGCACTCTCTGGGTTCGTCCATTTAACCTTTTAATCTTTAATGAACGCCCCTCGTATGTTGAGACTGCATTTATATGCAACCAAGATTTGGGGCATTTTCCTGCAAAAATGTTGCATCCCCCAGCCTTCATTCTATGGGTGAATGCAAACTAGCACCATTGATTCCGCTGTTGCATGACAACCATATTGGCCAAGCCTTTCAGTTCAATAGGCCTGCTCCTGTTCAGTTGAATATTAGGATTCAAGGCATTTAACTTTTTGTTCCGTTCCAAACAACTTGCATGAAATTGTCACTCTCCCTCTCCAATGAATTCTAAGCATGGGGAAAAAAAAAGATTAGGTGCAAGAACTTGTTATCTCACCAACTTTTGAGACTTCGCAATCTCATAAGAAAACAGGGGACAGAGTTATGATTGACAATGGCGACGAAGGATGCATCTGCACTGCATAGTTGGTTCAGTTTGACATCACTTCCATGCTATGGAACCCTGGGAGTCATAGTTTGGTGAGGCACCAGCACTTTTTGGCAGAGGAGGTGAAAGACCTGGTAAAACAACTGTTGGAAATAGCAACCTTCCAAGCCTCCACTAACTGTGTGTAGATGTGTTAACCCAGTGTTTCACGGCATTAGGAAGGTTGAGAAACACTGGGTTAATGCATCTACACACAGATAAAGACATGCCACTACAAAAAATATATTTGTATGATCTTGTTAGAAGTCAACCCTTTGAACAAGGGATATTCATAGGCATTTCTGTAATGGCACACAGGTAACTCAGCTGTTAGACTGAAGAACCACGTCTTTAAACTGCCAAGGAGAAAGACATGCCACTAAATATATATATATATTTGTATGATCTTGTTAGAAGTCAACCCTTTGAACAAGTGATATTTATAGGCAACTGCAAATTTCAACTTCAAAGAAACAGCCATCCTCTGCTAATCCAATATATTTTTGTAGTGGCATATCTTTATCCTTGGCGGTTTAAAGACATGGTTCTTCAGTCTAACAGCTGAGTTACCTCTGTGCCATTACACAAATGCTTATGAATCTCATTTGTTCAAAGGGTTGACTTCTAACAAATATATATATTTGTGTGTGTGTGTGTGTGTGTGTGTGTGTGTGGCATGTCTTTCTCCTTGGCAGTTTAAAGTCATGGTTCTTCAGTCTAACAGCTGAGTTACCTGTGTGCCATTACACAAATGCCTATGAATATCACTTGTTCAAAGGGTTGACTTCTAACAAGATCATACAAATATATTTTTTTGTAGTGGCATGTCTTTCTCCTTGGCAGTTTAAATACGTCGTTCTTCAGTCTAACAGCTGAGTTACCTGTGTGCCATTACATAAATGCCTATGAATATCATTTGTTCAAAGGGTTGACTTCTAACAAGATCATACAAATATATATATTTTTAGTGGCATGTCTTTATCCTTGGCAGTTTAAAGACATGGTTCTTCAGTCTAACAGCTGAGCTACCTGTGTGCCATTACAGAAATGCCTATGAATATCACTTGTTCAAAGGGTTGACTTCTAACAAGATCATACAAATATATGTGTGTGTGTGGCATGTCTTTCTCCTTGGCAGGTTAAAGACATGGTTCTTCAGTCTAACAGCTGAGTTACCTGTATGCAATTACATAAATGCCTATGAATATCACTTGTTCAAAGGGTTGACTTCTAACAAGATCATACAAATATATGTGTGTGTGTGTGTGGCATGTCTTTCTCCTTGGCAGTTTAAAGACATGGTTCTTCAGTCTAACAGCTGAGTTACCTGTGTGCCATTACATAAATGCCTATGAATATCATTTGTTCAAAGGGTTGACTTCTAACAAGATCATACAAATATTTTTTTTGTAGTGGCCTGTCTTTATCCTTAGCAGTTTAAAGACGTGGTTCTTCAGTCTAACAGCTGAGTTACCTGTGTGCCATTACACAAATGCCTATGAATATCACTTGTTCAAACGGTTGACTTCTAACAAGATCATATAAATATATTTTTTGTAGTGGCATGTCTTTCTCCTTGGTAGTTTAAAGACATGGTTCTTCAGTCTAACAGCTGAGTGACCTGTGTGCCATTACATAAATGCCTATGAATATCTTTCCTTATCTCTTTCCTTCCTTCCTTCCCTCCCTCTTTCTCTCTTTGGTTCCTTCTCTCCTTCCTTCCCTCTTTCAGTTTTTTATTTCATTCTCTCCCTCCTTCTCTCCTTCCTTCCCAACCCTTCTTTCTCTCCTTCCCTTCTTTTTTCCCTTTCTCTCCCTTCTTCTCTCCTTCCTTCCTTCCCTAACTTTCTTTCTTTCCCTCTTTCTCCCCCTTTCTCTCCTTCCTTCTCTACCCTTCCTTCTTTCCTTCCCTCCTTCTTTCCCTCCTTCCTTCCTTCTCTAGCCTTTTTTCTTTCCTTCCTTCTCTCCTTCCCTCCTTCTTTCCCTTCTCCTCTTCCTCCCTCCTTCTCTACCTTCCTTTGCTTCTTTCCCTCCTTCTCTTCTTCCTTCCTTCCCTACCTTCTTTCATGCTTTTCCATTTAAACCTTTTCAATAAGGTTATGGTGCACTTAATTCTAATATGATATGGAATTTCCAACAACTACAACTCCTAAGATTCCACAGCAGTGAGTCAAAGCAGTCCAAATACAGTCAAACAACATTAAATGCTACCGTGTAGATCCAAGCCATGTATGGCATCCCCAATTTAAAGAACAGAGCATAGACATGTGGGTCATATTGGTGCACAAAGAGGGGAGAGGCAGGAAGGGAGTTCAAGGGGGGAGCCATTGACTTGGCTTTGGAGACCTCAAACTGCACGTTTTGTGTCTTATCTCAGCATCATTGGAAAGCAGCAAAGCTCATGCAAGGATGAAGCAGGACCTGAGCATCAAAGGCAACGTTTCCTTGGAAGAGGGTCTCCGGGGGAGTTTGACGACCCCCCGGACCTGCATCTAGTCAGAACAGAGCCCTCGCTGTCGGCAGGGAGAGAAGCGTCCCGGCGTCAAAGGAAGGAAGTGGCCAAAGCAAAGCAAAGCCAAAAGACCAGCAACGGAAAAAGAGAGCGCGAGCGAAGCGTGTAATACGTAAAACCTGCCTATTGTCGGGGGACAGTGATCCTTCCGATGAGGCCATGTGATATGGGGATGGGGAGAACCTGTTATCGGGACGGAACTCCTTATCATAGGCCATCATGTTCCACTCCAGGCGGCGGTTGCGTGCCTTCCGCACTTTCTTCACTTCCCGAGTGGAGTCCTCCACCAAGCGCTGCTCCTGGGAATGGAGGAGGAGGAAGAGGAGAAGGAGGAGGAAGAGGAAGAAGAGGAGGAGGAAAAGGAGGAGGAGGAGGAGGAGGAGGAGGAGGAGGAGGAGGAGAGAAGAAGAGAGAAGAGGAGGAGGAGGAGGAGAGAGGAGGAGGAGGGAGGAAGGAGGAAGAGGAGAGGAGGAAGAGAAGGAGGAGGAGGAAGAGAAGGAGGAGGAAGAAGAGGAGGAAGGAGGAAAGGAAGGGAGGAAGAAGAAGAGGAGGAGGAAGGAGGAGGAGGAGGAAGAGGAAGAGGAAGGGGAGGAAGAAAAGGAGGAGAGGAAAAACAGGGGGAGGAAATGAGGAGGAGAAGGAGGAGGGAAAAGGAGAGGAGGAGGAAAAGGAGGAGGAGGAAAAGGAGAGGAGGAAGGAAGGAGGAAGAGAGGAGGAAGGGGAGAAGAGGAGGAGGAAGGAGGAGGAGGAGGAAAAGGAGGAGGAAGAGGGGGAGGAGGAAGAGAGAGGAGGAAGAGGAGAGGAGGAGGAAGAGAGGAGAAGGAAGAGGAGGAGGAGGTGGAGGAGGAAGGAGGAGGAGGAGGAGGAAAGGAGGAGAGAAAGGAGGAGGAGGAAATGGAGGAGAAGGAGAAGGAGGAGGAGGGGGAAAAGGAGGAGGAGGAGGAAGAGGAAAAGGAGGAGGAGGAGGAAAAGGAGGAAGAGGAGGAGGAAAAGGAGGAGGAGGAAGAGAAGGAAAAGGAGGAGAAAAAGGAAGAGGAGGAAAAGAAGGAGGAGGAAGAGGAAGAGGAGGAAGAGGAAGGGGAGGAAGAAAAGGAGGAGGAGGAAAAACAGGGGGAGGAAATGGAGGAGGAGGAAAGGGAGGAGGAGAAAAAGGATGAGGAGGAGGAAATGGAGGAGGAGGGAAAGGAGGAGGAGGAGAAAAGGAGGAGGGAGGGAGGAGAAGAGGAGGAAGAGGAGGTGGAGGAAGAGGAGGAGGAGGAAGGAGGAGGAGGAGAGAAAGAGGAAAGGAGGAGGAGGAAGAGGAGAGGAGGAAGAAGAAGGAGAAAAAGGAGAGAGGGAAAAGGAGGAGGAGGAAGAGGAGGAGGAGGAAGAAGAAGAAGAGAAGGAGGAGAAGGAAGAGGAGGAGGAGGAGATAGCAATTTAGTTATTATTTATTCATTTATGACATTTCTCTATCCCGGGCGGGACTCATGTAGGCAACTATTCGATAAGACTGATTGTCGGATAAGCGAAGGTCGGATAAACGAGACTCTCCTGTATTGGCCAGAATCCTGCAATCCCTTCCCTACAATGTAACTGTGCATGCAATCCACTTAGTAGCAGAGATGCTAAGAAATCTGGTGAACGGATTGCCAAGAAGCAAAAAGGGTGCATGTTAGAATCCCTTTTGGGTTGCTGAGAGTTTTCCGGGCTGTATGGCTGTGTTCCAGAAGCATTATCTCTGACGTTTTGCCTGCATCTATGGCAGGCATCCTCAGAGGTTGCCTGCCATATGTGCAGGTGAAATATCAGGAGAGAATGCTTCTGGAACATGGCCATACAGCCCGGAAAACTCACAGCAACCCGGTGATTCTGGCCATGAAAGCCTTCGACAATAGAATCCCTTTTGTTGGTGTGCCGTTGCCAACCATTCTTTCGTTCCAGCTCTGATATGTAGTTACGAAGCTGCAATTATATTTCCTGCACACATTAAGTCCACTTAACGAGCAGACAATGCTATTATTTATAATGAGAAGAATGCATGTTAGCATTTTACGGAGTCTCGTCAGAGCATGGCTTGATTTCCTCTGCTATTTGACTGACTGCTCTGTACGGACAGGGAAGAGTGTGTAGGTCCCTCCAACCCCACAACGTGTACCTTCTGCCTGCGTTTCTCTTTCCTCTTGTCTTCCGTGGCTTGCAACATCTTCTCTTTCCACAAGTTGAAGAAATATGAAGGATCAGTGTAGAATTTCAAACCGTCTTTCTTATCATCCCTGAAACAAACAAGTTGGAGACAGAGAATGAATTGGTGATCCAAAGCAAAGCAAAGCAAAGCAAAGCAAAGTTTATTGAGTAGTCCACTGATCATATCAATAATGTTGTTGTTCATTCATTCAGTCGTCTCCGACTCTTCGTGACCTCGTGGACCAGCCCACGCCAGAGCTCCCTGTCGGCCGTCACCACCCCCAGCTCCTTCAAGGTCAGTCCAGTCACTTCAAGGATGCCATCCATCCATCTTGCCCTTGGTCGGCCCCTCTTCCTTTTGCCTTCCACTTTCCCCAGCCTCATTCCCTTCTCTAGGCTTTCCTGTCTCCTCATGATGTGGCCAAAGGACTTCCACTTTGTCTCTAGTCTCCTTCCCTCCAGTGAGCAGTCGGGCTTTATTTCCTGGAGGATGGACTGGTTGGATCTTCTCGCAGTCCAAGGCACTCTCAGCACTTTCCTCCAACACCACAGCTCAAAAGCATCTCTCTTCCTTCGCTCAGCCTTCCCGAAGGTCCAGCTCTCACATCCGTAGGTGACTACAGGGAAGACCATGGCTTTGACTAGGCAATGGATCTTGGTTGCCAGTCTGATGTCTCTACTCTTTACTATTTTATCGAGACTGGACATTGCTCTCCTCCCAAGAAGGAAGCGTCTTCTGATTTCCTGGCCACAGTCTGCATCTGCAGTCATCTTTGCGCCTAGAAATACAAAGTCTGTCACGGCCTCCACATTTTCTCCCTCTATTTTCCAGTTGTCAATCATTCTTGTTGCCATAATCTTGGTTTTTTTGATTTTAGCTGCAACCCGGCTTTTGCGCTTTCTTCTTTCACCTTGATTAGAAGGCTCCTCAGCTCCTCCTCGCTTTCGGCCATCAGAGTGGTGTCATCTGCATATCTGAGGTTGTTAATGTTTCTTCCAGCAATTTTCACCCCAGCCTTGCATTCATCCAGCCCCGCACATCCTCGCATGATGTGTTCTGCATACAAGTTAAAAAGGTTGGGTGAGAGGATGCAGCCTTGCCGTACGCCTTTCCCAATCTGGAACCAGTCTCCTGTTCCGTGGTCAGTTCTGACTGTTGCTCCAGATTCCTCAGGAGAGAGGGAAGGGGGCTTGGGATGCCCATCCCACCAAGAACTTGCCACCATTTATGATGATCCACACAGTCAAAGGCTTTAGAAGAGTCAATGAAGCAGAAATAGATGTTTTTCTGAAACTCCCTGCCTTTCTCCATTATCCAGCATCCGGATATTGGCAATCTGGTCTCTCATTCCTCTGCCTTTTCTAAACCCAGCTTGAACATCTGGCAACTCTCGCTCCATGTATTGCTGGAGTCTTCCTTGCAGGATCTTGAGCATTACCTTACTGACATGAGAAATAAGGGCCACTGTTTTATTGTTTATCAATAATAAAAGGCAAAAAAAGCCATCACATTAGAGAATTGGCCAAACATCTGGATCATTACCAAAAATCCAGTTCCCTATTACCTCCCGAAATGTTTGAAAAGAATGCTGGCTCTCACGCTTAAAATATGCAAAGAATGCTCTATCCTACACTTGAAGCTAAACTAATGTGATGATAAAAGTGTCTTCCTGGATTTTAAATGTAGCACTCAGTGGAATTTAGTTGATGTGATGAAGTGGTCAGATTAGAGGCCCAAGACCCCTGTGAAAGTGGAAAATCCACAACTGAAAAGACATTATTGTGTCTTAACCCAAGAAAACACCTCCATAGGAATATCTAAGACCCAGAGAGCATTTGTGGAGGGCCAACGGCAGCGCAAACAGCCCTTGTACCGATATGGAGTGAGGATGTTGAGAGGCGGAGGTTTGTCGCAGCGCTGGTACATCTCCATCACAGGGTTAGGGATCGAGTTGCGGGACACCACTTGCTGGTTCTGGATGGTTGAGCTTTTGAATGCCTTCCGCATGTTGATGTCCTGCAACGAGACTGGGAAAACGGAAGAGAGGGAAGAAAAGATGTGACGGAGTAAACCAAGCATAGGCAGGCTTTTCCAAGCTGCAATTCACAATTATGTAATATTTACTTGATCTACTCACTGGAGGCTAGTGACCTTCAAAAGTCAGAAAGTGACCCTAAGATGTAAATGAAACATCTCGTTTTATTTTATTTATTATTTGAACTTATATGCTGCCATTCCCCTGGGGCTCAGAGCGGCTTACAAGAACAGGCTAAAATCTAACACATTTTAAAAACAGTTTAAAACCATTAAAAAACAGCAATATTAAAAGTCAAAGACCTGTCGAAACAGATATGTCTTACAAGCCCTGCGGAAAGCTGGTAAGTCCCGCAAGGCACGGACTTCAGGTGGCAGAGTATTCCAGAGTGATGGTGCCACTGCTGTGAAGGCTCTGCGTCTGGTTGCTGTTAGACGCAAGGTCTTGACACTGGGAATTTCCAATAGATCTTGGTCCTCAGAACGGAGGGATCTCTGGGGTTGGAGGGGGTGAGGCGGTCCCTCAGGTACATCGGCCCCAGACCATGCAAGGCCTTAAAGGTGAGTACCATCCCTTTGAAAGTGATCCGGTGCTCAATTGGTAACCAATGCAGCTGCAGTAAGATTGGTGATGTGGCATCTCATCGGAATTCCCGCAAGAAGCCGAGCAGCTGCATTTTGTACCAACTTGAGCTTCCGGATCACCGACAGAGGAAGGCCAATGTAGAGGGCGTTACAGTAGTCCAGTCTTGGCATGACCGTGGCCTGGATCACCGTATAGGTTGTCCCTGGACAGGGAGGGGTCCAGCCGTCTAGCCTGCCGCAGGTGAAAGAAGGCGGTTCTGCTCACGGCAGAGACCTGGGCCTCCATTGTCAGCAGAGGGTCCAAAAGGACTCCCAGACTCTTGACCAACGATGATGGGCGTAGCGCCTCGCCATCCAGGGTAGGCAGCTGGATATCCCCACTGCCCAGTCGACCCAGCCATAGGATCTCCATCTTTGCTGGATTCACCCTCAACCTGCTGGCACGCAGCCATCCAGTCACGGCCTCGAGGCACTGATGGAAACAATCGGGTACAGAGTCCGGTCGGCCTTCCATCTTCAGCACCAGCTGAGTGTCATCGGCGTACTGGTCACACTCAAGCCCAAAACCTCGAACCAGCTGAGCAAGTGGTCGCATAGAGATGTTAAACAACAGAGGGGAGAGAATGGCCCCCTGAGGAGGAACCCCACAAGAGAGAGAGGGGGGACCTCTCAGAGACCAGGCCTCCCCTCTCCACTCGCTGTCCACGGTTGTGAAGAAAGGAGGGGAGCCAGTTGAAAGCTCTCCCCCTGACTCACTCCAACAGCAGCAAGGCGGTGGGTCAAAAATTGTGGTCGACTATGTCAAATGCTGCTGTGAGATCCAATAACACAAGCAGAGAAAGACTAATAGAAAGACTAATAAGACTCACAAGAAGACAACAATTTACAGGGAAGAAGAGGCTTTTCTCTATTTTTTTTCACCCCAAATACTTTTATTTCACAACCACCACAAAATAGAAGGAAGTCAAACAAACTCCCTTCTCTTCCTTTTTCTATTTCTATCTTTTAAAACCTTTATTACATTTTTTTTCTTTTTAAAACTTTTATTACTTTTTTCTTTTAATCTCGTTTCTTCCTTTATTATTATTATTTACTTTCTTTTATCTCTCAACTTTTTATCAAATCTCCCGTTTTTTTTCCTCTTTTCCTAACTTTTCTGTTTGAAAATTGTTCTCACTCTTTCGATGTTCTGTTTTCTTTTTGCAAGGTTTATTGCAATAAAAATTATTTAACAAAAAAAAAGAGAGACTAATTTCCGCACGGAAAATGTCACCTCCTACACAACACTAGGGCCCCCGGTGGCACAGTGGGTTAAAGCACTGAGCTGCTGAGCTTGTTGACCGAAAGGTCGCAGGTTCGATTCTGGGGAGCGACGTGAGCTTCCACTGTCATCCCTAGCTTCTGCCAACCTAGCAGTTTGAAAAAATGCAAATGTGAGTAGATCAATAGGTACTGCTCCAGGGGGAAGGTAATGGCACTCCATGTAGTCATGCCAGCCACATGACCTTGGAGGTGTCTATGGACAACGCCGGCTCTTCGCCTTAGAAATGGAGATGAGCACCACACCCCAGAGTCAGACATGACTTGACTTAATGTCAGGGGACAACCTTTACCTTTTTACACAACACTGCTATTTTTGTGTGCAGAATAATCAGGCAATAATATTGTACGAAGTTCAGAAGTCCCGTGACGATTGTCATAAATGGATCTACCTCCCTACTGGCCTGGAAACCATCAACCACAACTGCTCTTACAGATGACCAGAGAAGAATGTTTTGATACAAAATACTTCTGAGTTTTGGTTATGTCTCACCTTCCTCCACCGTGGAGTCCAGCTGAGTGACCTTGATGACCAGAAGGTCCACTCGCTCCTGGAGGGAATTCATCCGTAAGTAGAAACCATTGGCTTCGTTGAAGAGTTCTCCAAAGATGTCTTCAGCATGCCGGCCTGAAGAGACACAAGGCAAAAAGAAGCCACATGGTGTTGGGGTTCAGCCTCCATGTGAACCTGACCCTCAGCCTCCGTGTGAACCTGACCCTGATTCTTTGACTGTATTTCCTGATGCAACTGAACAGGCTACTGAACATGTATTTTTCCCTGATGGTTTGGAAACTGTTGATTCTGAGGGCAGTGGCTGGGAAAGTGAAACTAAACATCCTGATGAGGATGTTTCAGAGTCAAGCGGTGATAACTCTCCAGAGGAGTTAACACCTGCCTTTTTTAATGAGGATAGAAGAAGGCAGATTTGGGAAAACAGGAGTGACTCACAGAGTCTGCGAAGGTCAAGTAGATTAAAAGAAAAAGAGGCTTCCAAGCCTGGAGGTGTGTCCCGAAACAGTTTCTTTAGTTTAAAGTGTCTCCCCACGGGATGTCTTGTTAGATCAAGCATTGTTTAGACTGAGGCATTACCTTGGCTGAGTTCCCATTTCCCATGGCCTGCATTCCCAGAGGCTTCTAGTTTCCAAGTACGGTTAGTGAGATACTAACAGGTTCCAGGTTTTTATAGTGTTGCTTTTGGAATGTTGATCTAGTTCAGAGATATTCCTGACTGCTGAGTTTTACTGTGGCTTTTTGACTTTGCATTTTCCTCTATTTTATAACCAATTTTTCATCAATAAAAAAGGATTGTTTTTCCCACAGTCAAGTGTGGTGGATTTAATCTTATGGTCTCGTTTCCTGATCTGGGATGCAACACATGGACAGAGATGGATTTCCAAGATGTGGTCCAAAAGAAAGGCACTTCCATATGGACCACATGATGGATGCAACTGTGCAACCTGTGCTAGCAGAAAGGCAAACTGATTGATCAATTGGTTGCTGGTGGCTTTCAAGGCAAAAGTCTTGATAGCACTATGTAACACGATTTGCATGGCCAGATGTTGATCTTCTTGATTTGTGCTGATCTTATGTTGACTTCCTTCTTATCATTATAAACATTTCTGTTATCACTGTCCCAATTCTTATCAGAGCTTACTCTTCAGTTCTTATTAGCAATTTTTAATCACAGTCCAGCAAGCAGGTAGTTAGTCATTACAGGCCTTCATATTATACTGGTGTTATTAATGCCATTTCCTAATTGGTTCTATCATAAAAACATGGGGAAAGTTTGTTTCTGTGGGACATCTTGCAGCACATTTTACTCTAGTTCAGTGTTTCTCAACCTGGGGGTCGGGACCCCTGTGGGGGTCGTGAGGGGGTGTCAGAGGGGTCGCCAAAGACCATTAGAAAACATAGTATTTTCTGTTGGTCATTGGGGTTTTGTGTGGAAAGTTTGGTCCAGTTCTATCGTTGGTGGGGTTCATTGTGGGTGAACTATAAATCCCAACAACTACAACTCCCAAATGGCAAGGTCTATTTTCTCCAAACTCTACCAGTGTTCACATTTGGGCATATTGAGTATTTGTGCCAAGTTTGATCCAGATCCATCATTGCTTGACTCCCTGCACAAAACCTAAGATTCCAAATGCGCACTTCTTTCTCTTCCCTTGAGAAAGAAGGCCAAAGTGACCAGACTGCTTCCGTGAAAATCTGCCACTCTCCATACATACACTATCTCTCTTCTTCCCATGGAGCAGAGCATAGCGGGTGGAACAGACTCCTCAGGTCTGCCACACATTCAGCATTATTAGACTGAGTCTTTTATAGGAATATCATAGAATCATAGAATCAATCATAGAATCAAAGAGTTGGAAGAGACCTCATGGGCCATCCAGTCCAACCCCATTCTGCCAAGAAGCAGGAATATTGCATTCAAATCACTCCTGACAAATGGCCATCCAGCCTCTGCTTAAAAGCTTCCAAAGAAGGAGCCTCCACCACACTCCGGGGCAGCGAGTTCCACTGCTGAACGGCTCTCACAGTCAGGAAGTTCTTCCTAATGTTCAGATGGAATCTCCTCTCTTGTAGTTTGAAGCCATTGTTCCACGTCCTAGTCTCCAAGGAAGCAGAAAACAAGCTTGCTCCCTCCTCCCTGTGGCTTCCTCTCACATATTTATACATGGCTATCATATCTCCTCTCAGCCTTCTCTTCTTCAGGCTAAACATGCCCAGCTCCTTAAGCCGCTCCTCATAGGGCTTGTTCTCCAGACCCTTGATCATTTTAGTCGCCCTCCTCTGGACACATTCCAGCTTGTCAATATCTCTCTTGAATTGTGGTGCCCAGAATTGGACACAATATTCCAGGTGTGGTCTAACCAAAGTAGAATAGAGGGGTAGCATTACTTCCCTAGATCTGGACACTAGGCTCCTATTGATGCAGGCCAAAATCCCATTGGCTTTTTTTGATGCCACATCACATTGTTGGCTCATGTTTAACTTGTTGTCCAAGAGGACTCCAAGATCTTTTTCACACGTACTGCTCTGGAGCCAGGCATTGTCCCCCATTCTGTCTCTTTGCATTTCATTTTTTCTGCCAAAGTGGAGTATCTTGCATTTGTCACTGTTGAACTTCATTTTGTTAGTTTTGGCCCATCTCTCTAATCTGTCAAGATCGTTTTGAATTCTGCTCCTGTCCTCTGGACTATTGGCTATCCCTCCCAATTTGGTGTCGTCTGCAAACTTGATGATCATGCCTTCTAGCCCTTCATCTAAGTCGTTAATAAAGATGTTGAACAGGACCGGGCCCAGGACGGAACCCTGCGGCACTCCACTTGTCACTTCTTTCCAAGATGAAGAGGAAGCATTAGTGAGCACTCTCTGTGTTCGTCCACTTAACCAATTCCAGATCCACCTCACTGTAGTTTTGCCTCGCCCACATTGGACTAGTTTCCTTGCCAGAAGGTCATGGGGGACCTTGTCAAAGAAGGTCTTCCTGAAATCCAGGTACGCTACATCCACGGCATTCCCCGCATCTACCCAGCTTGTAGCTCTATCGAAGAAAGAGATCAGATAAGTCTGGCATGACTTGTTTTTGATAAATCCATGTTGACTATTAGCGATGACTGCATTTGTTTCTAAGTGTTTGCAGTGTTTGTTTCTAAGTGTTTGTATTCTGCCAATGTCCTCCCAAAGTTGTAAATTAATGATAGACTTCTTCCATCCTGGATCCATCTCAGTTTGCTGGCCAGATGTTGATCTTCTTGATTGGTGTTGATCTTATGTTGACTTCCTTCTTAACATTGTAAACATTTCTGTTTTCACTGTCCCAATTCGTATCAGAGTTTACTCTTCAGTTCTTATTAGCAACTTTTAATCACAGTCCAGCAAGCAGGTATTTAGTCATTGCAGGCCTTAATATTATACTGGTGTTTCCAAAATTACTAACTCCATCCATACATCATTCCATTCATTCCCATGCATCATTTTAAACCCACATTTATGAAATCTGCACATTAAATTTTTGTGACACAAGATGATGAAGCTGCTCCCAGTGGCCACATCTCCATGGCAAAGAGGGAGGAAAGGCATCAGCCAAGAGAACACAGCCTCCCGCTCCAGCGCAAGCCACCTCCAGCCGCCTGCGCCTGGCTTCCGCTTGGCCTTCCTTTTGATGGACCGAAGAGAGCCATGTTCAGAGAGGGTTGTCTCTACAGGAGCGACAATGCCGGCTTTGTTTCCCAAGGCAGCCGAACAGCAGTGCGCTTTGTGGGTCACATGCTCTCCCCTTAAGGAGGCGACGCCAAATAAAACCCAGCATTGAAAAGAAGAGAAGAGGTTGGGAGGAGAGAGGGGTTTGGAAAGCCGCGAAACAGATTCTCACGCAAAGGAGAGAGATTTCATAGAATCATAGAGAATCAGAGAATCAAAGAGTTGGAAGAGACCTCATGGGCCATCCAGTCCAACCCCATTCTGCCAAGAAGCAGGAATGTTGCATTCAAATCACCCCTGACAGATGGCCATCCAGCCTCTGTTTATAAGCTTCCAAAGAAGCAGCCTCCACCACACTCCGGGGCAGAGAGTTCCACTGCTGAACGGCTCCGACAGTCAGGAAGTTCTTCCTCGTGTTCAGATGGAATCTCCTCTATGTGCCAAGTTTGGTTCAATTCCATCATTGGTGGAGTTCAGAATGCTCTGTGATTGTAGGTGAAAAATATATCCCAGCAACTGCAACTCCCAAATGTCAAGGCCTATTTTCCCCAAAATCCACCAGTGTTCGCATTTGGGCATATTAAATATTCATGTAGAGTTTGGTCCAGTTCCATCATTGTTTGAGTCCACAGTGATTTCTGGATGTAGGTGAACTACAACTCCAAAACCAAAGGACACTGCCCACCAAACATCAAAAATTCCCTCCGTGACATCCTGACTGAATCACCGGGATTGTGGCGCAGCTGGCTGAGTGTCAGCTGCATTAAGATCACTCTGACCAAAAGGTCATGAGTTTGAAGCCAGCCCGGGTTGGAGTGGGTTTCCAACCAATTGTGTGTAGCCTGTTGTCGACCTTTGCAACCCGAAAGACAGTTGCATCTGTCAAGTAGGAAAATTAGGTACCACCTTAAAGTGTGGAGAGGCTAAATTAACTTATTTATGAGGCCATAAAGAAGACTCCAGCAAAGCATTCCAGTGGGGAAGCATGCGGGGAATGCGGAAGTGCTTCATCAGCGTCGCAGATGGACGATGAAAGCGACAGCTCCCCTGGCGGCCAGAAAAAGTTAAATAGCCTCTGTGTATGTCTGTATATGTTTGTATGTCAAAAATTGGCATTGAATGTTTGCCATATATGTGTACACTGTAATCCGCCCTGAGTCCCCTGCGGGGTGACGAGAAGGGTGGAATATAAAAGCTGTAAATAAATAAAATGTAAATAAAGTTTGGTCCAGATCCATCATTGTTTGAGTCCACAGTGCTCTCTGGATGTAGGTGAACTACAGCTCCAAAACTCATGGTCAATGCTCACCAAACCCTTGCAGTATTTTCTGTTGGTCATGGGAGTTTTGTGTGCCAAGTTTGGTAGAGTTCAGAATGCTCTTTGTTTGTAGTTGAACTATAAATCCCAGCAACTACAACTCCCAAATGACAAAATCAACCCCCCCCCCCTCCAACCCCATTTGTATTCAAATTTGGGCGTATCAGGTATTTGTGCCGAATTTGGAGGTTGCGAGGGGGTTTCAGAGGGGTCACCAAAGACTATCAGAAAAGGGCAAAGCTGTTGACTTACTGAGGCTTCCCAGTTGCTTAATGATGGCAGCCAAGGTGCTGTTGGTGACGCATTCTAGCTCGCTGGTCACTCCATCTGGAAGGGCTCCGCGGCACAAATGGCGCGGCTCAATGTTCCGCTTTACCAAAGGCATCTTGGCGAAGGGTCAGCTTCTGACCTGGAAGTAGAAGACACATTGAAAGGGAAGCAGATTTAGCTCATTTTTTGCTTAGACACTTGACATCCCAGCCATGCCACAGGCGGGCATTAAGCCCTCTATGAACATGGATAGGCATGTTTATATTAGGTGCACAACAGCCATCTTTGGATGAAGGTCACAGAAACAAACACTTAGAAACAAATGCGGTCATCGGTAATAGTCAACATGGATTTATCAAAAACAAGTCATGCCAGACTAATCTGATCTCTTTTTTCGATAGAGTTACATGCTGGGTAGATGCGGGGAATGATGCCGTGGATTTCAGGAAGGCCTTCTTCGACAGGGTCCCCCACAACCTTCTGGCAAGGAAACTAGTCCAATGTGGGCGAGGCAAAACTACGGTGAGGTGGATCTGGAATTGGTTAAATGGACGAACCCAGAGGGTGATTCTCCCCAAGGCTTCCTCCTCTTCATCCTGGAAAGAAGTGACCAGTGGAGTGCCATCCGCAGGGCTCCGTCCTGGGCCCGGTCCTGATCAGGATCTTTATTAATGACTTAGATTTTTTGATTTGTTTATAGCAGTTACATATTATTCATCACCCTCTTTAACATATAATCTTATTATTCTGCTTAAGCATTTCCCCCCTTTTTTCCCACCACTGTGCTCTCCCCCCACCATGTGTACCAAATATGGTAATCATTAGGGCTGGGCGGTTTCGTTTCGTTAATTCGTAATTCGTTAATAATTCGTTAATTTTTTCAATTACAAAACGATAACGAACCATTCTGGAGCAATTATTAAAAAAATGAATTTTCAAAAACGTTTTGTAAATGCTTCGTATTTCGATATTGTATTCGTTTCGTTATTGTTTTGAGGTCGTTTCGTTATTATTTCCGCATGTCTGGGCCAGTTTTATGGTTTAATTAGTGAAAAAAAATTATAATATCACACCAACAGTCAACAACAGAGGGAGAGGGAAGCTTCAGAAGGTTTTGGAGGTTTTTTAGCGTATTTCGCGGTCACGTCCGCCATTAACGAATCGATTCGTTATTGTTTCGGAAATCGATTCGTTAATTTTTTACCATTTACGAAATTTCGTAAATATCGAACTTTTTAAAAGGAAAATTTTGTAATTATTTTAAATATCGAAACAAAAAAAACCCCCAAATACAAATCGATTTTAGAAACAAATTTTTCCGTTGTTACCCAGGCCTACTTAATTGTCCAAAATCCCATTTCTTCTTGTGGCAGTAACCTTCCTTCTTTATTTTTTAAACCATTTACAACAAATTTTCCCCATACAACATCAAAATCACTTTGTTTCCATATACCTTTTTAAACTTTTAATATACATGTAAGCTTATCATTTATTGCCAGTTTCCATGCTTCCTTGTACCACTCCCCTATTTGTATATTTATTTCTATTTTCCAATTCCTTGCTATGAGCAGTCTTGCTATCGTTAATAAGTTTGTTATCGCTTCTTTATCCTCCTTTTCAATTGTTTATTGTTATATAGTGATAATAAAGCTATGCTAGGACTTTTCTCGATTTTCATATTCATTATATCTTCTATTTCTCTAAATACTTTCTCCCAAAAATTATTTACATATTGTTCCGTGTCCCAGTCTCCAGAGAAGCAGAAAACAAGCTTGCTCCCTCCTCCTCCCTGTGGCTTCCTCTCACATGTTTATACATGGCTATCATATCTCCTCTCAGCTTACTCTTCTTCAGGCTAAACATGCTCAGCTCCTTAAGCCGCTCCTCATAGGGCTTGTTCTCCAGACCCTTGATCATTTTAGTCACCCTCCTCTGGACACATTCCAGCTTGTCAATATCTCTCTTCAATTGTGGTGCCCAGAATTGGACACAATATTCCAGGTGTGGTCTAACCAAAGCGGAATAGAGCATGGGGAGCATGACTTCCCTAGATCTAGACACTAGGCTCCTCTTGATGCAGGCCAAAATCCCATTGGCTTTTTTTGCCGCCACATCACATTCCTGGCTCATGTTTAACTTGTCCACGAGGACTCCAAGATCTTTTTCACACGTACTGCTCTCGAGCCAGGCATCATTGTCCTCCATTTTGTATCTTTGCATTTCGTTTTTCCTGCCAAAGTAGAGTATCTTGCATTTGTCACTGTTGAACTTCATTTTGTTTGTTTTGGCCCTTCATCTCTCTAATCTGTCAAGATCGTTTTGAATCCTGCTCCTGTCCTCTGGAGTCTTGGCTCTCCCTCCCAATTTGGTGTCGTCTGCAAACTTGATGATCCTGCCTTCTAACCCTTCATCTAAGTCATTAATAAAGATGTTGAACAGCACCGGGCCCAGGACGGAACCCTGCAGATGGTACTCCACTTGTCACTTCTTTCCAAGATGAAGAGGAAGCATTGGTGAGCACCCTCTGGGTTCGTCCATTTAACCAATTACAGATCCACCTCACCGTAGTTTTGCCTAGCCCACATTGGACTAGTTTCCTTGCCAGAAGGTCATGGGGGACCTTACTGAAATCCAGGTACGCTACATCCACAGCATTCCACGCATCTATCCAGCTTGTAACTCTATATGTAAGCTGCCCTGGGACCCTCCGGGGAGATGGTGGCAGGGTACAAAAATAAAGTTGTTGTTGTTGTTGTTGTTGTTGTTGTTGTTGTTCTTAAAGGATAACGTTGGTGATTCCATTCCTCAGTGTAGAGTGGGCCGGGCTATAGCACAGCTGATAAATTGCCACCAGCAGCAATAAGATCTACCAACCGAAATGTTGCCAGTTCGAAGCCCAGGTCAGAGTGAGCACCTGACTGTCAGCCCAGCTTAGAGCTATAAGTAGAGAAATCCGGTACTGCTAAAAAGCAGGGGAAATTTTTTACACCACCATAAAAGAAAAAGACCAGAAAATGCGGTAACCAAAAGGAAGGAGGAAGTCCTGATGACTCTTTGTCATAGAGGATAGACCAACAGCACCCCCCTGTGGCTGGATTCGAGCACAACCTTCAAGGCGCCAAAAAGCTGGACGTCAACACAACATACCTCCTTTCTGTCTGTTCCGTCCTTGCCTGTCCAAAAGGCATTGAATGTTTGCTGTGTATGTGTACTGAATCCCCTTGGGAAGATAGGGCAGAATATACATAAAGTGTTGTTGTTGTTGTTGTTGTTGTTGTTAGATGTGATATCGAGCTCTTTTGGGAGGCTCTCCCCAGCAGAGGAGATCCCTGAGGACCGCTCAAAAGGGCCCTTGAGCCTTGGTGAGGCCAGCGGGAGCCAATCAGAGCCGCGAGGAATATTAAAATAATAAGACCTCAGCAAAGCGGAAGAAGTCCAGCGACCGAGGCGTTTATTTAGCGATTCAGCTGATATCGGATGCATTGCAGGAATCATTCCACCGCAAGCATGCCAGTACAAAGTTTCCAAGCATTTTTATAGCAAAAAGACAAAGAGAACAGTTTCAAAACTCCCGCCCGCCCATTGCCGGCCGGCTTCGCGCTGATTGGCTGGCGGCAAAACAGCTGGGAGGAGGCTTGGCGGCCCGCCTCGCCTCCGGACCAATCAGCGAGCTCTGCCGTCTCTGGGAGGCCAATCAGTGCCTTCCTAGCGCTTCCGAAGATGGACCAATCAGAGGCCAGGAGGCGGGACGAACCTTGACAATGGGAAGGGAAATGATGGGCTTACGAGTCATCTGCCAGCTGGAATGCGAGGCTTTTGTCCTCGCTGGCAGGGTGTGATTTATGAAACAAAAGTCTTCCTGTCCCTTGATGAGCTTTGGGGGGGATATGAATGACTATTTCGGCATCGGACCTCAGGGGGGATCAACGATGCCTTATGCAAATACAATCTTTTTATTCCGAGCGTCCATAAGTCCCCTTATCCCATCAGACATGCTCAGAGAATGGGGAGGGGCCATTATGGCTATGGTTCCATGCAGGGTGAATTAATCAAAGGCGAGTCTTGGGAGATGCAGAGGTTCTCCCTCAGGCAGTTCCTGGTCACATCATTTGTGGGGCAAGGGTCAAGGGGAAAGGGGGAACAGACCATACTACACAGCAAGATACATACATTCAAATCATAAGCATTTCATGGCAACAAAACCCCATCTTTGTCCCACATCCCAAGTATATTTAATAGAGGAATTGATTTTAATTGAAAACTTGGAGTCCCATGGTTCTGGAGAAAGTTTGTGGAAATGGAGGTGGCTTGCAGTTCAAAGCAAGCAAGCAGAAAGTCATTTTTCCTGGTTAAGGTTAGCAGATGGGCGCTGAGTTGACTGGTAACAAGATCCATAGCTTGGTCTTTGGGAAACTATAACTCTCATGGAGGGCAGAAGTCCCAAGGTCCAGCCGTTTCCCAAAAGCCTCGTGGGGTCCTTGTTATTGTCAGTGCTTTGGCAATGTGACCAAGACTTGATCCTTGCTGTGTAGTCTGGTGCCCTTGCCCTTGGCAGAACTATAAGTACTTGGGGGGGGGGGGGGGGATGCTCGGCATCAGATGGACCCATATGTTATGGATGAACTATAACAACAAGAACAACAACAACAACACTGTGGGTCTGTTCTTATGCGGGCCCACCTAAGGACTCTCAATGCAAAGTCTGAACCTGAATGAGAAGCTGCAGATGGTGTTCGAAGTCCTCAGAGCTATTCATAGCTCAGGCAGCGCTCTCAAGAACATCCCTAGAAGATGCACAGCTTTGTCATCCGTAAGACATTGTTGGGACAGATGGCGGGAGGCAAACCTCCTCCGCCAGCCTTCTCGCCCAAGTGCAAGGCTCCAAGGAAACACCTTTCCCAATCATGGATGAATCAGTGTTCTGCCCCCCACTGAGAATGAGAACGAGGAGAGCAATTAGCAGCGGCTCCCGATGCAGGGAACTTCCCATCCAAGGCACCTGGAGACCCAGGACACTACGCCAATGCCAATGCTCTCCTCCCACTCGAACAAGAGAGGAGGAAAATGACAAGTAAAGAGAGGATCAAAGATGAATTTCTAGAAAGTGAAACTACATGGGTTGTTGTAGGTTTTTCGG